GCATTGTGAGACTCCAAGAACATGTTCTGGGACTGACGCTGCGCGGCTCCTAGATCCAGAATCCCACTGCTTGGGCGGCTGTTAGTTGAGGTAGCGAGATCCGCTTCGCGATTAGCATATGCAGAAGATGGCCCCTTTAGCCCGCCATCCATGCCCTCAGAACTTGAGTCGTCTTCAGTCAAAAAAAGGGCGGATTTTGGTCTTGGCACGTCTCTGCTGGCTGCTAGCACAGGCGAACGAGCGGGGCTGTCACCGCGTGTCGGCGTAGCAAGACCACTGCGAGGGGTAGAAGAGCTTGAAATGTTTCGGGAGTGACTTGGAGATGGCTTCTGTGGAACGTGGTGCAGCGAGTCAACATTGTTCGCTGGCGTTGGCTGGGTGACGGGTGTTGTGACTTCACCAGGCTCCTCCTTAATCACGGGTGTATTTCCTTCTGCTTGATTGCGGATCTTTAACCCTGAAGTGGCAGAGCTAGGGACGCGGCTCATGATTGGACTAATACCAGACGTGCTTCCAGTATTGCTTCTTAGAAGGTCTGAGCTCGTGTCGTTTGTCGTTGGTGTTGGCGGAACCGAGCGCTGGTCATCTGTACGAGTGAATGCCTGATCGACAACAGAGCGTAGACCCTGATCGTCCGATGGTGAGTTGGCGGAGTGTTCCTGCTGGGAAGGGTTGGGGCCAGACTGGATGATCTTGGGATCGAAGTCTGGTAGATACTCGCTCTTGCGCTCGGCGACTGTTTCCATGGGCTGCAGGGATTTTCCACCCTCGTGAGCGAGCCCTGCATCATCCTGTGCTGCGGATGAAAGAGAGTCTAGGCTGGGTCGTGATGATTCTAGCGACCGATGCTCCTGATCTTCTTGGTGGCGCTTGTATATGTCTGCTGGTCTGATAAAAGGCAGCGGCTTATCAGATGCACTGCCGGTGCGAGGCCGTGGGGAAATAGCTATCGGCGAACTTGCCTGACCTATACTGCTTTTGCGCGGAGGGAACTGGGACTGTGACGGGGGAGTGAAATCGGCAGGCACCTGCGACATACGTGTCTGCAATGGTGGAGGCACTGCAGAGGGACTGAAATCACCCCTGCCTCCCATATCATAGCCTGGGCCAAAGGCATTACTATCTGGCAGCCCCTGGGGTTCTCTATGTGACTGGGCATGAGCATGTTGAGGCTGAGGAATGGTCGATGAGAATGCGCGCTGTTCCTCTCCACGCTCAAACGAATTCCTGCGGGCTTTTGGTAGTGGTGCTTGGAGGGAGGGGTCGGTGAAGCTTCGCGAGGGTTGCTCTGTACGCTGGGCATAGTATCGCTGCGCGGGAGGTTGGGCATCTTGGGGTTCCTGGTTCACGCAGTATTCGTCATACTCATCGTAGTCGCCCCAGTCGTCGCCGTCATAGGCATTCTTCTTGGCCTGCACCCATTTCTTTGTTTTGGAGCGATTGACATTGGTCTTGAAGGACACAGACTGGCCGGCAGAGAAGGGTGAGGCGCTGCGATCGCTACTTTGAGTCAGTCTCATTGGAGGGATTGCGAGGAGGAGCAAGACCTACAGCGGCGACCTGGCTTCCTCCTGGAAGCGAAATGGTCCAGCCATGGTGGTGGACAGTCAAGTTGCGTGGATCGGTTCTGCACAGCACAATATAGGGTAGGGCTCCACCGGGGGCTAAGCCCAAAGCCAGCTATGTCCTACAGCGCATACAATGGTAAGAGGAGACTGGGCGACTATCTGCAAAGATGGACTGTCCAACAAGAGAGCTGTCTGTTCACCGCGCGAGTGCAGGTTTGGGTGAGTAAGGGCTGGGACGTAGGGAGAGTAGCTACAGCAATGGTAGGTTGCGAGAGAGGGGACTGTGGATGGCGCCGACCGAGCTTCCGGGAATGATACGTACGTCACCTGGTGCGCACGACCAAGGTTCAATCTCACTAAACACGACAAATCGGCCCAAACGCTAATGGCAGGGAGTTGCAATAGGGGGCAAGGATAAGCATAAGAAAGTCGAGGAGCGAGACATTTATTTGCTCGGCCTGCCAATTCTCTCGCACGACTTCAGGGTGATGCAGCGGCGGGGCGCAGGGCTGGGCGCCACAGCAGTCGTCCCTGGGTGGTGTGGCGCATGTAGCCATAAATGGAACCCTCCGGGCAAGGGCCCCTCTTGGAACTAACACGTTCCCCCAACCGCCCTCGACTTTCCATCCCAATTTCCCCCATATCCGCCGCGTTTTCTCCCACAAGCGAGCCTAACTCTGTGCCGCTCACCATCACACATTGAGTACTACGATCAACCCCATAGCCACAGTCGATACACGTAGCCGTTGCTCAAGCATCATCGCCAAGTCGCAGCGCCTGGCCACCCTGCCGATACGCGGCGCGCTGCCCCTTTCCGCCTCGACGCCTCGACTCCCCGACTTGTTTACACGCTGTAATTCGCAGGCACCATGGCCGTCTCCATTCAAGACCGTACCGAGGAATTTCGCTCCATTCTTGCACAGGCCCAGCGGCGACAGGCGCAGTCCAAGACGGGCGCGCAGAGGCAGTCGCTTTTGACGGCACAAGAAAAGGCCCAGGCAAATGCCAGTCCGCGGCGTCAGCGCTCTGAGTTTGCGCGCAATGCCGCAGAGGTTGCGCGCGGCGTCGCGAGCACAATGCAAAAACTGGAGCGACTATCGCAACTAGCTAAGCGCAAGACGCTCTTCGATGACCGCCCGGTCGAGTTTGACGAACTCACATTTGTTATCAAGCAAGACATGTCTGCGCTCTCCGGGCAGGTGCAGGCGCTACAGCAGATGAACGCAAAATTACACCCCAAGGCGAAGCCCGGCCTAGACCAGGAGGGCGAGCACAACAGCAATGTCGTCATGTTGTTGAAGGACAAGTTGCAGAATGTGGGCACAAACTTCAAGGATGTGCTCGAAGTGCGGACCAAGAACATGCAGGCATCCCGTTCACGGACCGAACAGTTCCTTTCCTCGGCTGCGCAGCAGTCCCACAGCAGCCTCGAGCCCGGCAGGACAGATTCGCCACTTTATCAGACACCTCAGCGAGGACGATCACCAGGAGGATTTGGCAGAAACACCAACGCAGTGCAACAAGACTTGCTTTCGCTCGAGCCTTCTGGATCGTCTGCCCTGACGCGAGGAGGAGCGCAATCAGACGCGCAGCTACTTCTCATGGAAGAGGCGCAACCACAGAACATGTACATTCAAGAGCGAGGGCGAGCCATTGAGTCGATCGAGTCGACGATCCAGGAACTCGGTGGCATCTTCAGCCAGCTCGCACAGATGGTATCTGAGCAGGGAGAGCAGATTCAGCGAATTGATGCCAACACCGAGGATGTTGTGGACAATGTCGAGGGTGCGCAGCGAGAGCTTATGAAGTACTGGAGCCGGGTGCAGGGCAACCGATGGCTCGTGGCAAAGATGTTTGGAGTGCTGATGATCTGTGAGTGTGGCTTTGGCACTTGACCTGTGTAACAGCAAGCTAACATGGCACAGTTTTCCTTCTTTGGGTACTCATTTCTGGTTAACGTCGTATGTAGGATTTTCCATGTTTGTGCATGACTGGCGTTGGGAAAGACGACAAGAGATGATGCTAGGTTGGTCTGGCATGGCTCTTAGTGGAGCCCTTGTTGCATGAGGCGTTGAGCTTTTGTCATGTGTGCTTTCCTTTCTTCTTGTATTGATTTTATTTCTATCCATGTGTGCATTGACGAGTTCACGCTGCATGAGTGGTCCACGTAGAAATTTGTAATAGACTGTATGGTGCTCCTGGCCAACATGTACAGTGGTGTTGGACGCTTTCTTTTTAGGCGAAGATGTATCTGGGGTACTCTGTAGGCGTACTTGTGTACAATTAGTATAGCTCACTCTCAGTGGGTAGCCGTCTGTGCACAGGGATTTAGCTGCATATGTAGGTATGGCGTGCGGGCCGGTATGTCTAGTCGCTTAAGTCGGCAGTAGCACCATGGCGACGCCCTGAATAGATTCGTGTCAGCTGAGCATGGTACTTGAGAGTACACGTAGAGTGTGTAGATGGAGAAGCACGAAGAGAGTAATATGGAAACATGCAGAGTTGGCCTTGGTGAGGAGCGTCTGATTGGCTGCAGGTGACGGCATGCTACCGAAGCTAGGCTGCTCGCTGTATCACCAATGTCGCGAACAGAGATGGCCTCGACTGTACATGGTAAGCCCCCATTGGCGTTCCCGGCGAGACAGGTCGTTTGGCGGTGGGAGAAGAGCCGGGTCGCGAGGATGCAGTGGCTCCAAGTGGGAAAGTGATGGACGCGGCGCTGATAGCAAGTAGTGGTAGAGGTGACAGTTGACAGACGCCACGGCACGGCTCATGGGCCGGGAGTGCTAGATGGAGTAAAGTGGGCATAGCCTTATGGCAGCACTACACCTATAGCAAGACGACGACCGAGGGTGCGGACAAGATGACGACAAGAGACGGCGCCACGTCGGCCGGACGGGTGCATGGATTCGTCGATAGGGTTTCACGGTGGCCCACTGGCTGCCGGCTTGGGGTTGGCAGAGCATGGACGGTCAATATTGTCTGGGCTGGGTGGATGAATGTGGATTAGATACGTAGGTACGTGAGCAGACAGGCATCTCCACCCCCCCAAAAGCAAAATGGCGGCCTCGAGACGGGCGAGAAGGGCGTGGGCCAGGTGGGCAATTCGGCCGTCCCCTGCTGGCCAACCCCATGGCGACAGTCGCATCAGCAGGCACATGATCATGGGTCAACTTTTCCTACATACTAGCGCCCAGGTCTCCAGCATCCATCCTCACACCGACTTGACGGCTTTGACGCCTGACCCGCCAGTCTGCCAATTAATTGCGGCTCTCCCGGGTCGTGTGTGCTGGCCGAGCAACTCGACCGCGCCTGCTCTGGCCAAAGAAAGACAAGGCCGCCGCCGCCTGCATGTCTTAGGTGCCACCACCTCTTTCTTCCTGACATCACCCTCAACCGCGCACTCACTGCATGCATGCGCGCTCCGGCGCAATGGCTGACCGCATATGGGACCAACCACCCCTCCTCACCACCGCTCCCATCTTCGAAGATGCCGTCTACCTCTCTGAGGCCCTGGGCCTGCCTGCCCATCAGACAGAGGACGACCTGGATGCCGAGCTCGTCGTGCTTGCCCGCGAAGCTGGCATCCAGGATCCCTATCGCTTCATGCCTTCACCAGCAACAATCTCGTGCGCCATGTCCACCATGACTCTCGACAGCGACCAGACAAGTTCGCGGTCGATGCACTCCCAGGAAACCCAGTCCACAGGCTTCACCTCGGCGCCTTCCCGTACTTCTCGGGACCATGTCTACTCTGCTGACTACATGTCGGCCAAGAGGATGCCTCCAGCGCCTGCCCAGGCTTCTCAGTTGGCAGAGAATTGCCAGCAACCCATTGAACGTGTAGAGCCTGCCGCTCGACCATCACTGTCTTCCAGCACGGCCACTTCATCTTCTGTGACTTCCAAAGCATCTTCTTCCCAGCAGGAGCATACGCGCAAAAAGCGAGGCTCGGCCCTGTTCTCCTTGCTTCGGAAAGAAGCAAGATACTTTGCCACAACTGGCCTGCATTCACGTAATGTCACGACGTATGCTCATAGTTGCCCTTCGGCATTGCATCGCAAACCCCCAGCCAAGTCCCTGTCTACAGAGTCAGTGTGTGGTCATTGTGGAAGCCCATTGCGACGCTCAATATCCGAAAATATACTAACAAAAAGCGAGCTGGGTCTTCTTGCCGGAGTCGATACGAAAGCATCAGCTATATCACTAGACGCACCATCATCTCCACATGAGGGTTCTCAAATTTCCAAGACATCTTCTTCAGAATCCAACATGACAGCTCGACACGTGGAGCAAGAACCAGCCAACATTGACTCTGCCCTAGCGTTAGAAGCGTTCAAGAGCTTCAGAGTTCAGCAGAAGGAACAATGGGATAGAGTCTCGATGTTTGAAAGTATCCAAAGAAAAGCCCTCGCAGCACACTACCGATGCGAACTGGAGCGACTGCAAGTGAATTATGAAGCCCGTAAGAAGGAACGCACGAAGCAGGTATGTATACAATTTGCTGGTTCTTAACATGTCAGTTCACTCACAGCATACAGCACGTAGATGATGTAGATCGATTGGAGGAACGGCAAGTGCTAGCTGAACACGACCTCCTAGAAGCCCAAGCCCAGGAAACACAAAACGTAGCAACAGCACTGAAGTATATCGAGGCCTACTGTCTCGGCACCAACACCTCACAAGAGCAAACGCACACCGTAACCGAAGACGACTTCAAAAAACTCTACCACCAAAAAATGCTCCAACAAGGCCTCCCTCGAAAACACATAAGCGCCATCAACGTCCTCCGCGCGCGCCAAGAAGTCGACTTCAAGCGCCGCCTCGAAACCCAAGAAGCCGAGCTCCGCCAGCTAGACCTGGACCTGAAAAAAGAAGAATCCGCCAAAGAAGCAGAGTACAAAAAAGACCTCGAGCACCTCGAATCCCTGATTGAAGCACGCAGACGACGACTCCAGCAACGATGGGAACTCCGCTTTGAAATGTGGAGGCTCGACTGGCAGAATCAGCACAAGACGACAATTGTGCACAAGCTGGAACATGAGGAGTGGCCTGAGAGGGGAAGAGAAGGGGAGGGAGAAGATGACGTCAGTGCAATTCCCGATGCGAGTGCTTTGGCGCAATTTGCGAAAGTGGCTGCGTAAACAAACTTTGTTCGCTTTTTTTTTTTGCTTTTTCTTATTCCTTTTTCGCCCCGTTGCAGTTTTTCCCCATGGTTCGATCTGCATATCTCGCTTTTCTTTTTCCACATGGGAAATTGATGCACTGAGATGTTTACGCCTTTTCTTTCTTTTTATGTATACCCCCCCTTTTTTTCCATTATCTCCGAGTCAGTTTTCTTTGGCTTTTTTTTTCGTCTTTCATAAGCGTGGCGTTGAATTTGGGAATCATGGATGGGGTATAGCCATTACGAAATCTTTTCTCTTTTCCTCTCTTTTTTTCTTACTCAATGGCTCATGGCTTGCATTGGTAGTTAGCTGGGGTTCAGCTGGCGGGATACAACGTGTGAAGAAGATCTTCTTTTCTCTCTCTCTTTCTTCTCACTTTTCTCGCTCTCTCTCTCTCTCTCGTTGCTAACGGCCGTCGCTAGTTACTATATATACCCCTGTTCGTCTGTCCTTTTTTTCTTCTTCCCTGGGTGTCTTGCGAGCGATTAGACTGGACGAATGAAACGTTTATGTAATCGATATCTCTTCTCTCTCTGTTTCGAGGAGAGCACTATTGTAGATTACTTGGTCGCGCAGTGGAGACGGAGAGGAATATATGTATATATGGAATCGTATATACGTGTACAGATGACAAAGTGTAATTGAGAGTAGTGGAGTTGAGAACTTTGCAGTAGAGTGAAGGAGTGAAGATAGTATAGGTTTAATAACTGCATTTTGTGTGTCTATCGGGTATCTCTACGTGTCATTAAACATATCTTCACATTTCCATCATGAACAATAATCATCAGAATCCCACAGTCCCCTAACCGCGAGTAATGTCGCTATTGTACTGCTCCACCGGCGCAAGCATATCCCATTGAAGCTCACCCTGAACATCAACAGCCGGCGGCAAATCGCCCAGCCCCATCCCCAAATCCATCTCCGCCTCCTCATTGATAAGCGAAAGGTGATCAAACTGCTGGTTGAACATCCCGCCTCCATTACCCAAATGATGTAAGCCCTTGGTATCAGGCTCGGGACAAGGCAGCATAGGCGTCGTAGCACCATCGGTGAAATACGGGCCCGGCGTCTCTGGCATACTGGGTGTAGCCGAATCGGCAAACAAATTCATCGACTCGTCGAAGCCGCCGATCCAGAACTGGCCGCCAGTCATGGCGTCGCGCTCCAGAATCTTTTCTTCGATTTCCGCGTCCGACATGTGGTGCTCGGCGCGTAGATGGCGGCGGAGATCGCGATCAATGTAGAAGCGGTAAGCGCAGTTTTTGACAAGACAAGGCACGTCCCGGTCCTTTTCATAGCCCACGCCGGTAAGCATGGTGAGCATCGAGGCTACTGGTTTCTTCTTGGATCGGGCGGCTTGTCGCAGCTGCTTGCGGTTGCCGAGGCCGAGATGGTGTTTTCGGATGTGCTGGTCCAGTGAGGACCTTGCTTTGAATGAAGCGCCACATGCATCTTCTCCGTTCCAGGCCTTGAGGTCTGCGTGTTTGGAGGTTTGCACGGCTTCTGCTGCACACACGTAATTGAATTGCTTGTCGTGAACATTTTGAATGTGCACTGTGAGGTTGTGCTTTCGGTTGAATACGCTCTCGCAGCCTAGCCTCGGGCATGGGTACTGTCGCTGTTCTTGTGGGTCGCCATGGGCAGTGTCGAAATGTGTCTTGAGTGTAGATGCGCTCTTGAATTTTTGACCGCATTCTGTGCATACCGGGGGGTGAAACTCGGCTGTATGTGCCTCCAACTCTTCTTTGGTCGCAAACGACGGTAGTTGCAGTGAGTCTGCAGACTCGGTCTGCACTTTGCCTTCGCCATCAGTGCCCACACATAACATGCAGAAATGGCCTTGCTCTTGCGTATCGTTGTGTGCTCGATTCATGTGCCGTTGCAATGCACCCTCAGTCTGGAACCCGCTTGTACACTTCTGACCTGCTTCCTCGTCTACATGGGCACAGACATATGGTTTGACTGCGAGGTGCTGACTCTTGACATGCGCTTCGAGTGCCTTTGCCTTTCTGAATGATTCACTGCACGGTGGATATTCAGTGCAGTGGAATTTGGACTCATGGACATCCCTGTGCCTTTGTAGCCTGCCATTAGATGTGAAGCTTTTCCCACAATCATTCCAGTCGCATACAAATGTTCGTTCGGTTACCGGATCGCTGTGAGCATTCTTCAGATGGCGCTGCAGATGATCTTTGCGAGGGAACGTCTTATCGCATCCTAATTCGGTACAGACAAATGGCCGTTCCTTGTTATGGCTTCGCATGTGTGTTTCGAGACGGCATGGTCGGTTGAATCGTTGGGAGCACGTAGGGCAGACATAGTTCCATTGTCGGCGGGCTTCACTCTCTGCCCTCAATTTTCCATTGTCAGTGTAGTTGACCCTCCAGTCAGCTGAATCGTCTGAAGCGTAGTCCAGCTCCGTGGCGTCCGCCGCAGCACCTCCGGACATGTTAGATTCTAGACATTACGATGTTGTGGCGGCCATACCTATTCGAGACTTTTTTGGAGGTGTGTAATTGGTCTCATCCGTCACCTTGCGCTTCAAAGTCATGGTGGTGTCGAGGATATGGCGAAAAGCTGCTCGTGGATGCGGAGGGTGTTAATTGAAATTCAGGATCCACTGTATTTTGGACGCGCCAAGATTTCACGCGCTAGTGCCTGCGCCGGCCGGGACAAAGTCCAGAGCTTTCTTTCTTTGCCTGGCGCATCAGGTACACCAACTCACCGCAACACCGTCCACACGCAAAAGCAGACCCGTTTGAAAACCCGCCTTTTCTTCTGCAGATTTTACCCCAATCATGTCTGACAACGGTGACGACTACGATGGCGGTGCTGGAGACATGTACGTGCATTCATTTTCTCAGTCGCGGAGTCTCAAGACCTGAATAGCCCAAGTGAACATGGCTGACATGAACAGCGATGAGCCTCTCATCGAGTTCGATGAAGAAGCTGAGCCCGATCTCATGGACGATGAGGACGATCACATGGGCGGCGGCGAGGACCCAGACAACGCCGATCCCAACGACGACAACGTAGTCGTATCCGGCGACGCCAGCGCGGCAGCAGCAGCCAGAGAGGCGGCCAAAAACACTGTCACGAGCGAGAAGGACAAGAAGGTTCCCAACGACAAGCGCACAACCACGCCATACATGACCAAGTACGAAAAGGCGCGTGTGCTCGGTACGAGAGCGCTCCAGATCAGGTACGCGCAGTCATTTGGACACCTTGAGCGCAGCAAGACTAACACATTCCTAGTGGAAACGCTCCGGTATTGATTGACGTGGAAGGTATGACGGATCCCCTGCAGATTGCTGCCAAGGAATTGCAAGAGAAGAAGATTCCGCTGGTTGTACGGAGATATCTGCCTGATGGTTTCTACGAAGACTGGACCTGTGAAGAACTCCTGACATAAAGGGGCAGTCTGTTGTGTTGCATTTGGCATGGAGTTTAATTTGCTGGTGAATTATCGGGCATATCGGCGAATGGAGTCTTATCTGAGTGGTTGCGCAATTATATCCCGAATCTCATCCGATTCCCGTTAACTCCAAGCCTTCTCCGTCGCATATATGCGGACCCGCGGATCTGATTCCTATAACGAGCCAAAAGACTAGAGCAAGGTGGGGTAGCTAACGTAGCTATTCATCCCCCCCGCACTAATTCCAGGCACAACGTCACTCCATGCGGCAGTTTACAAAACTTCTAAAGGCCCCTCGATTTGCATTTGTATTCCAACCCTCTGCACCGCGTTTTCCCTACTATACGTTACGATCCACCATGTCTTTCGAAACTACCGCCACCATTGCCTCCTTTGGGGGCAAGCTTCTCAAGCTCAAGCATAAGTCTGCAAGCACAAACACAGACATGGAGCTGAACATGTTCCTACCGCCGCAAGCGCTCAAGTCCGGCGCAAAAGTGCCTGTACTCTTCTACCTCTCAGGTCTCACATGTACCGGCAACAATTGCTCAGAAAAGGGCTTTTTCCAGCACGGCGCAGCTCAGCACGGCATTGGCGTGGTATATCCCGACACTTCACCAAGTGTGTATATAATACAGCAAATTTCAAGCACCTTGCTAACCTACTATGTTAGGGGGTCTCCAGATTGAAGGCGAGGATGAGTCGTGGGACTTCGGCACTGGCGCAGGCTTCTACGTAGACGCTACCAAGGATCCGTGGTCAAAGGGCTATAACATGTACTCATACATCACCAAGGAACTTCCCGATGCACTCTTTTCGTCTTTCCAAGAGCTGGATTCTAGCAGAGTCAGCATCACAGGACACAGCATGGGAGGTCACGGCGCGTTGACACTGGTAAGTCGGATATGACGTGGTATTTGAACTCCCGGCACTGACCCCTGCTCCTAGTTCCTCAAGAACCCCGGCAAGTACAAGTCTGTCTCCGCATTCGCGCCCATTGCCAATCCAATCAACTGCCCATGGGGTCAGAAGGCATTCAAAGGATACTTTGGCGAGGATCAGCAACAAAAGTGGAAAGAGCACGATGCTTCTGAGCTTGTAAAGCAGTGGAAGGGTCCTCTGGAGATCCTCATCGATGTTGTACGTATCTCGAATTGTCAGATTCGAGGTCATTTTCGCTAAGACATGCTAGGGTACCGGGGACAACTTCTACAAGCAGGGGCAGCTGCTACCAGAGAACTTTTTGGCGGCAGCCAAGGAAGCTGGCAACGACAAAGGCATCAAGCTCCGCATGCAGCCCGACTATGACCACAGCTACTATTTTATGGCATCGTTCGCCGACGAGCATGTTGCTTGGGCAGCAAAGCACTTGGGAGCGTAGTAAGTCCTAGTGATTATTGTTGCTACCGCAGACTACTCACAATCACAGAAGCAGCGCAGGCTTCAGAGGAAGGCTATAGACTAGTAATGGCATTAGTTTGAGGTTAGCACAAGCTGGGCGCGTGTGCTTGTTACGATCTAGCGAGGCCCACTCTTCAGCATGGATACTCGATTCGCAGGA